TAAAACATAGTATATTAAATACGTGGATCAATAAGCATAAAAGATAATATATTAACAATGTTATACGTATAAAGGATAGTATATTAAATACGTGTATCTGTACATATATTAAATCTGCATCTGTACATATATTAAATACGTGCATTTGTACGTGTAAAGCATAGTATATTAATTATAAGGATGGTATATTAACTATTTACTATATATACTAACTATGTGTAAAAGGTAGTATATTAAGTACGTATGAATGATAATATATTAACTCTATATATGTATAAAACATAGTATATTAAATACGTGGATCAATAAGCATAAAAGATAATATATTAACAATGTTATACGTATAAAGGATAGTATATTAAATACGTGTATCTGTACATATTAAATACGTGCATCTGTACATATATTAAATACGTGCATTGTTACGTGTAAAGCATAGTATATAATTATAAGGATGGTATATTAACTATTTACTATATATACTAACTATGTGTAAAAGGTAGTATATTAAGTACGTATGAATGATAATATATAACTCTATATATGTATAAAACATAGTATATTAAATACGTGGATCAATAAGCATAAAAGATAATATATTAACAATGTTATACGTATAAAGGATAGTATATTAAATACGTGTATCTGTACATATATTAAATACTGAATTGTACAATCTTAAATAGTGCATTTGTACGTGTAAAGCATAGTATATTAATTATAAGGATGGTATATTAACTATTTACTATATATACTAACTATGTGTAAAAGGTAGTATATTAAGTACGTATGAATGATAATATATTAACTCTATATATGTATAAAACATAGTATATTAAATACGTGGATCAATAAGCATAAAAGATAATATATTAACAATGTTATACGTATAAGGAATAATATATACCAGTGATTCTCGACCGCTGGTACGCGTACCACTGATGGAACGCAAGAGTAAAATATGTGATATGAAAAGCATCAAAGTATATTTAACTATCAAGTTCGAAAATCTCATCAAGAAAAAGAACAATTGATCGAAATTTCCTGCGATGGAACTGAAAATTTCAAAAGTAACTTTTGGCTGAGCCAAAAAAAAGAATTTAAAGGCATCTTAAACAAAGTTATCAAATTTGTATTGCTATTTTGCACCACCTATTTGTGTGAAGAAGGATTTTCTTCCATGTTATATTTGAAGCATGAATACAAAACAAAATTGTGGGATGGCATCGTTCATTATAATAGGATGACGCGACAAGCTGTGAGAATAAATCTTTTACTTTTCCGATGATGGAAGTCAGACGATTCCGCCATTAAGACGATGAAGCGACTGAAAGATAAAAAAAGACTTAAAAGATGGTCGATTCTCTTTATCTGTAAATATCATCTATGTAAATTCATTTGTAGTAACATGTAATCATTTTGTATCACAAATCATTTTGTACATATCACAAATCATAATCTACACATGTATTCATTTTGTAGTTCGTAGCAAATAATCATGTTTCCATTAAATATTCAAGTTATTTGTAAACTGAAACTAGTTTATTAGCCCCTAGACAGCCACAAAAGAAGTAAGTTTACAGACATCATATTCCTGGACAGTAAGTACCGATTCTACAAAATTAAAGATCCTAATGTATGTTTAAAGCTAAGTGAAATAAAGCCAGACATAAAGAAATTGGTCTTTCTTAAACAGACCCAAATTTCGCACTAAAGTATAGAATTTAAGTTTTATAACTTAAATTTTGATAATTAAAATGGTAACCAATTTTTAATCTAGCATTTTTTATGTGTGCATATTTAGCACAAATAGCCAATAAGTTGTGCAAATGGCAAAATATATTTTTAATACGTTCATTGAGAATTTGAAAAATAATCATTGTCAAATGTAGTGGTAGTACTACAGTTTTTCAATTTTTGTTTAGATGGTACGCGGTAGTCAAAAGGTTGAGAACCGCTGATGTATACATTAGATTTTTTTTTGCTAGTCTGAATGTAGCGAGTTGGGGGTTAAAATTCCGTAATCGGGGTGAGCGCCAAGCTTGGCGAGAGTTTTTTTATTTGGCGCGATTTTAATTTGGTTGTGGTTTCCGGCTGTATGTTTTCTTGTGGCAAACCTAGATCGATCTTTATTTCCGTAACTGTAAGAGCGCAAATTTAGTATAGCCAGATTTTTTTCTAAATTTAATTTTGAAATACTGTATTTGTTTTTAAAAGTTTTACTGTTTAATATTATTGTTATTATATGTTTTAATATTATATTTATATAAATATTTGCAGAAGGTGAAGCTGTTGTTGGTGGGAGAATGTTGGATTTCATATGACATGAAGTTATAATTTATGAATGTTTTCATATAATTTTATATATTTTTTTTTAAGTTTTGTTTCTTGCATGTGGCAATCGAAAGATGAGGAATATTTAAAGCTTTGAACGAAAGTTGTTTAGTGTGTTGAATTCCACGACGATAATAACTTAAATATTTTAGTTAGTTTATGATGCTGAATACGCATAATTTGCTATTCTGTTTACGTGTAAAACTGACTTCGCAATTCTCTGGCCTGATAAGTGTATACATTTATTTACTCAATAATTATTTACAAGAATTATTCGTTCTACTATTTTATGATGAATTATATATATATAGGACTATGCTTTTACTTCTAAAGCTGTTGGACTTTGTTTTACTCATCTAGTATTTTATCATCTCATTTTACTATTCTTTTTACATAAAATAACGGTGTTTCACTACTGCAAAACTTAAAAGTTACTATTCTGTTGAAATTTAAAAATCACATTTTAGTACTTTCATTTAGTGCGCCTAAAAAATTCACCAAATTTTGAAGTCCAAAATAATTTGACGCCAACTTACCCCGCTTATGGAATTTTAGTCTGAGTTGGTATGGGTGTGCGTGCCAATTGTGTGTATGCCTTCTCTTTCACCTCCCTCTTCCTGCCTTAAGTATGATGTATAAACCGAGTAAAAATATTTTCTTTCCACACATTGTGAAACTGCATTTAGGAAACGGGTTATAGAGGCGCGGAAATCTAAGTTTTGGAATTTCAATCGGCTATCAAAACACCAATGAATATTTTTTTCAAAATTAGGAGTTTATTAGAAAGATTGGACATTTTCATTTAAGAATGAAACAAAACATCATTCAAATGACCACCATTGTTAGCTTAAGGGGACTCATACATCTTAAAACCCATAAGATGTTCGACTAGGTGACTGTTGCAAGAATTGGGATACCTTATTTATTTTAAAAGCAATTACTTGCAACTTTTTACAGCTGACTACATAATATAGCTGCTTTCTGAAATAGTGATCAGAAAGTTTGTGTTGCCACAAATATTTTTATAATTTAATCCGCTTTGTGACAACATTTTTTCGTCATGTTTCCAACTTGTGCGCGCACAGTTTAAAACATTCTGTTTCATAATTTAATTCCATATTTAATATATAGCTTTTATAACATTGGAAACTACTGTGAACCTAAAATTCTAAAAATTTCATGTTAAAATTTTTATTTTATTTTGAGTTGAGTTTATAAAATGTATTTTATTAAAAAAATTTGTAATGTTTTCGTCCATAAAATTTTTCAATATTAAAATATTCATCAGATTGTTGGTTCAGTTAGAAAATAGTGCCCATATAAAGAATTCCATCCAATTTCAAGTATGTACCATTAGCCATTTTTAAAATATCATGCGCGCAAGGTGAAAACATGGCGAAATATTTTGTCACAAAGAGGATTAAATTACAAAAATATTTGTGGCAACACAAACTTTCTGGTTACTAGTTTCCAAAGCAGCTATATTATGTAGTCAGCTGTAAAACGTTGGAAGTAATTGCTTTTAAAATAAATAAAATATCCCAATCCTTGCAACAGTCACATATTCGAAGATCATGAGGGGTTTAAGGTGTAGGAGTCCCCTTAACAGTTCCCCGTTCGATCAACCCAATTTTTCGGTAGATTTTTCGAGTTTTTTGGGCTCCAATCGCATGAATGAAAATATCGTAGTGGAAAGTCTTCCTCGAAAGATAAAGAAGCTTTAAAAAGGAATGGACAACTTACGTCAAAATGCTAGCGTAGCATCTCCAAATAAGCAGTTTTTTTATTGATGCTTGGTGATTAATAGCAGTATAATATTGTTTTGAAAAATCACCCTGAAAGGTGATTAATATTTAAATTTCATTTGCGTAATTTCGTAAAACTTATCTTTTAAAAATTAATATTTAAATTTACCTATTTGAAAAATATTTGATATTTATTTCTATAATGAATCAGGAATTATTTTGATTATGGCAAAGCATTCGACGGCTGTCTGCCCAAAGGGAAGGATACCTTCGTGGAAGACCCACCAATGGTCAAGTAACTGAAGTCATTAAACACTGGTAACTCAATGGATATTCTGGCTGCATTGGATTTTTATGCGTTTTCTCGTGTTATAAGGTATTTATGCCGCCTATAAGTTATATAAATAAATAAGTTATCCCAATTCTTGCAACAGTCGCATATTCGAAGAGTTCCCTGATAAACCCTCCACGATGACAATCATCTTATAATGCAGATAGCCTTTGTTTGTTTTCACCATAAAAAATTAACCTAACCTAATTTTATCCAATTTCATTTCTACTGGACGCCGAGCGGTAAAATTGCTGAACACTGGTAATTTGGTTCGAATCCCACGAACAGGCTGGCTGCACGAGCCTTTTCGTGGTATTCCCCAAGTGTAACGTGTATACGAGCAGTTTTCCTTAGAACGTCCCTCACGAAGGCATCCCTTCCCTTAGACAGATAGCTCTCGTGTGCTTTGCCATAATGACATAAACCAAGCCAAACCAACTTCTTTTCTCTGAGTATTGAAAAAATGGAAAATCCAGTGATTCCTGCAGTGTCAAAGCAATGTGTGGACAGAAATGGAGGCAATGTAACTTAGAAAATTAAGTTAAACTTAGAAATTTAAGTTATTATAAAAAATATTTTCTTTTAGATGATCTGAAAGAGTACTTATGTACATGAACTGAACGATAAGTATCAGTATAGTAAAGGGTACAGAAGAAATGATATGAAAAAGAAAACTGCATTTTTGTGGAAATAAGCCAACAGAAAGGGAATCTGTTTAGTTGTGAAATAACGCTTTGCTTCTGCTGTAATCAGAACGCGTTACAGCTCTAAGTACGAAATGATTTCTGAAAAAAACTGTTTCATGCGATGCACACTGAATGTTTCGCACAAATGCGTAGTTATGGAAAAGAATGCAAAATACATCAAGCCATTACTTCTGAAGGAAAAGCTAAAAAGCCTTATTTGAAATTGTGAGATAAGATATTTTATTTTATATTGCGGCCAAAAACAGCTATTAAATCCCAATAATCTCTCTTGAACTTTAATACAAAAAAAATGTATAACATTCTGGTAGAACTCGAATAAGATCCTTCTGAAGCCATTCCTTTCGCTGAGAGATATTTGTCCACAGTTTTTTAAAACTTTCTGTTATCGGAAAATTCTATCCTTTGTATTTCAATAAAAAATCTTATTTGCGAAAGATCTTTTAAAACTCTTAGAAGCAGCAAAGTGCTTTTATTTAAAAGGAATATTCTTTATGTGTAGCTCGTGCATGAAATGGAATAAAAGAAAACTTTAAAAGGATTATTATTTTATGGTAATACTTTTCAAGAACTTCATGAATTATAAAGTTTCTCGATATATTGGATTTTTGACAAAAGCTTTATTCTATTTCGCCGCAAAATTAGAATATTTTATGACTTCTCACCGTCATTTATTTATGAGTACGTGCAAATACATTGCACAATAATACATGCGGAATAAATTTCACACCGAATTTATTAACGTTCATTTCTTTTGAGTAGCTTCATATCAGACACTCGAAACATTATTTGAATGCAGTAAAAAAAAGTTTAAAAAAAATCTACGAATATGTGTTCATAAGAAAGTTCTGGCAAATAGTATGTGCATTTATATCAAAGATAAGTAAAACTGACGAAATAAGTTGTCAAACTATTAGTATTTGCTTGTTAGTTGAAGATGGGTCATCCATTTTATGGATTCCGAACCAAAAGCAACTGGAATAACGAAAGAGTGTTTCAAACATTTTGAAGTTATATTTCTCTAAAGAATTTTTGAGATTAATACGATTGAACTGCATTCAAGCAGACAAAGAATAAACAGTTTTTAAAAAAGAAATTTAAAGTTCTGCAGTCGATACTCAGCAAAAAGAAAAAAAAAATGTCGGACACCCATCAAAAGAATGTGCAACCACCTGAAAAAGGTGTGAAAGAGGCACCTGTCATCAAGCCATTGAGTGCCATCGCACATCGTATGTTCCACCCACCGAAACTTGAAAGGTAAGTGGTATTTTATTTAATAAATCTTTAAGTCTATTGTTATCTTTGCAGTCTTTCAGAACACAGAGCTTTTGATTGCACAGCCCAACTTCTGTTAATGGATATTACATGTTAACCTTTTGAAAACCAAAACGCTCGAGACGACCTTTCATTTAAACGACCACAACCGCCCGAAATGGCCGAGATTGAGATATTGTTTCCTCTCCCTAAAGTATGCATGTGCAGTTTCCACAAATGCAGTGTATCAGCTTATTGCAGACAGCTTGTCCTAAAAGGAATGGAAGCTTCTTTGTTAGCAAGTAGAAAGGATGCCATTTGAAATCTTCACACCTCTTTGTGCATTAATGGATGGGGAGGTTATGAAACGGAACGGTTTTAACGGTAAATAAGTTATAACTCATAATGATAAGTACAGAACATAAAGACAAATATATAACATAAAGGTAAATATATAACATATTGGGACATAATGACATACATATAACAATACATTTAGGAAAATATATATAGCATTATTATATACATAAATACAAAGAGCACTTTTTTGCCTGTATATCTAAGAGAGTATATACTGAGTCACGCAAAAATTATTTTGTATATGATTTTTTTTTTCAGAATATTTTTGACTTTTTTTAAAAAATTTCATTGGATACATAGAGGTGTTGTATCGTCCTCTAGTCTTTATGTTGATTCTAGTCTGTACTTTTGTCAATTTTGTCCTTCAATATTTTGTCAATTCTAATTAAAATTTTTTTGAAAGTTCCAGTGTGTTATTTTTTGCTTATCTTGTGTTGCACAAGACAACCACGAAGGCACGCTAGGAAGACGGGAGAAATACCTTATGAGGCAGAGCTGATTTTCCTTGTTTCCGCCTTATGCAAGAATAATGGATGCTCACCGACATCTCACCTTTCATTGTATCGCTTTCTTCAGAGTATTTTCTCTGCATTTCAAAAGCAAAAGTGATTTTTATGTTTAAATTTGTCTATCATAGTTATGACCAAAATGGCATTGTTCTTCAGCAACGGTGAAACAGTGAATAATTATAATTCTGAAAATTTATTGAATTTAGAAGACAAACTTTGTAATACTATTACTCAAGAAACAATGAAAAAACATGATATCATAAATTTTCATACACATTTTTCTCCATTATGTAAGCAACAAAATATATCTTTAAAAAATCACATATGTGTATTGAAAATTATTTAGCACCTTTTTGGAAGCATAAGTAGTGGTGAAGCGGGGGGCTGCCCCCCTGGCTAAGCGCCTGTGCTCATAGGCCAAAAGATTATATTCAGTGTTGTTTTAACAAATGAATTTAATCTCTTCTTAAAGCCCGTTTTATTTAGTAAATAAAATTCAGTTACTTTTATGTTTCTTAGGCTCGAAATGGCTAAGTTAAGCTACATCCTAACCTGGCCACTGAAGACTTTTAATACCTAAACTCACGTGAATAGATATAAATGGTGAGTCACAGAAGACTAATTTCTTAGCAGATAGTTTTCCTGCATAACGCTATCTAAATGTGCCTTAGTTGAGGCCGTATAATTTCGACGAAAGCTTAATAACATAAGAAAGATGCATTAGGGCATTAGCTAGACAGATGCTTTGTTGTAGTTATCTGTCTAACTCGAGTTAAAGATACATTCCAAGTAAGTCCCTTACATAAAATAAAATAGTAAGCTTCGAGGCAAGTATGTCAGATTTATAGCTCCTGTAATCCCCCACGAGGAAAATGCATTTCTCTGTTTTCCTTACATAATTATGTAAATAGTAGCAGCTTCGCTGCCAACCTTCGTCTGGCTTTTAAATGTACCGGAAAAATGGCTGAAGAAAACACCAAACGTTAAATTTAAAAACTGCGTAGAATTTTACTCTGCAGAACAACTTCATAAAAAAAATATTACGTATAACAAAATTACAATGATATAAGCAATATCCCTTAATACAAATATTAATTATCCTAATAAATAAATTAACTAACTTCCCTTTGCAAAATCTTAAGAACTCAAATGGTATAAAGGAGGTGAAGAATTTTGTTTCCTAAAAAAATCACTCAAAACTTTTCAATATCCTACAAACAGCGAAATAAGCAAAAAATGACATGAAAGCAACTCAAAAAACGTAAAATTCCGCGAAGAATTTTTACTTTATCAAAACAAAAAAAAAATCAATAAAATGTATTGTAGTATATATATTATATATATAAATGACAATGAAATATGCCAATCTCTTAAAAACGGTGACGTAAGAAATACGATGAAAAATTGTTGCCAAACCCATATTTCTAAAAGAATGAAAAAATTCAAAATGATGCGATTTCATCCAAAATCTATCAACAACAATCAGACAGGAAAATTGTTGCCAAAATCACATTTTTAAAGATGTGAGAAGTGTACTCGGAAGCTTCATTTAAATTTTTTTTTAATACAAAAATTACCATTTTTCCAAAATTCTTTTTGTGAAAGCAGTCGCAAGAATGAAAGTTTAAGGTGTCCAAAAATGAAAGAAAAATAAACTGTACATTTTTAAAAATAAACTTTTTTTAGAAAAAAACCCATTGAAAAGGTGTTAAGCTCCCTTTGTTAAATAAATTCGTATTGAATCGATTTATTGAAACACGAAATTTATTTTAAGTTCGTAAAATAGCTAAGTGCCTACGTTTCATGACGATGTGAAAATGGAGTGCGTAGAGTAAAATCTCGCTTTTCTATAGCTCATTATGTCTCAAAATGACGCGATTTCGTCACAAAACATAAAATTAAAAAAATTCGAATTTGAATTTCGAAAAAATCGCTTCGAGGTGCAGTGGCTTTGGTGTAGATGCACCTATGTACCAAATTTCGTAGCCGTGGGTCTATTAGCTTACGCGCAGCACGAAAGAAAGACACACAGACTCCTTCTTTTATTATATGTAGAGAAGAGTAGAAAATTTATTTCTTCTTACTAAGCTGAAAAATTGCTGTGTTGCCAGTAAAATTGTTATTTTCCATTATTTCTCCTGTGATAACGATTAGGATGTAATAACGTAAAGTAAAGTATTATATTGCCATTTTAATCTTTATTGCTAAGTTTCGAGGAAAATATTTCGACTTAAGTACGTTTTATCTGTAATTTGATAAATTAGTGAATGGGCTATTTTTGAAAGAAAATAGTTTCACAGAAAACAGAAATGACCATTATATAGGAAGAGGTTTTTTTTATTATTTGTGGTTTTTTTCTGAATATGAAAAAAAGATTAGAAAGAATATACACTGCTGGCCATTAAAATTGCAACACCAGGACGTTGGAATGAACGTCAAAATCACATGAACGTCTGGCAAATATCAAAATCACATGAACGTCTGGCAAATATCAAAATCACATGAACGTCTCACAAATATCAAAATCACATGACCGTCTGGCAAATATCAAAATCACATGAACGTCTGGCGAATGTCAAAATCACATGAACGTCTGGCGAATGTCAAAATCACATGAACGTCTGGCGAATGTCAAAATCACATGAAGGGAAGAAGAGTTTGGGATATGCAAATGGTTAGGTATTTCAGAGTATTTAGACGACGCAAGAGGGAAAAACGACATCTGAAGCACTGCATAAAAGAAACGCTATATAATGGATTTCTCCTTCGGAATTTGCTCAGAATATTGTGTTATGCCTCGAATAAGAAGAGGAAATCCTTACCAGCAAGTTTCGAAATTCGATGGAGGCAGAATCGTTACCTATCTAGAGTGTGGATTACCGTTCCGTGATATCTTCCGTCGCACTCGTCGATATCTAACCACTGGCATGCGAATATGGAATCAATGGGTTTCTGTGTGTTTATACTGAACGGCATGTAGGATCTCTACGCCTATCCATGACTAACACCCGAGAGGTAGGTAGGTAGGTAGGTGACGGAAGACGGGGATATCTGGTGGCTACCAGAGATAAACAGGCATGTGTCCCTCGCCTTCCACTGTCTAATGGCAACAACTCCCTGTGGCCTCAAGAGACCACACTGGGAGCTTATTAAGAGCGCAGGAGATTACATGGCCAAACAGGGGCGACTTATTGACATTGCTTGACTAATTACATAATTACAGGTATGAGACTTGTGGGACGGATTTACAGATGAGAGACTCAGAGCTAAGTACTAAATGTATAAAAACACAAAAACATAAAAATGTACAGAAAACACACACACAAAGGGAAAAAAGGGGGGAAGAGGGATGCGCTTGATTAACACTGAAGACTTATGACAAATAAAGCACACTTAAAAAATAATACTACACATATACCACATGTCAGATACATATTTGGCCTCGTTGACCACATATATTGTACATTATGTGGGGTGTGTTTACAGACGAGGGGCCAATAATATGGGATTAATATGTGATTGCTGGACATTGATATGGGGGACACGGAGAGGTCCTGGCGAATACATATTTCTGGAGCGCATAGGTTGCTGAATGTGTGAGCACACCGTGCGCGGTGACATGTTAGCAGGACAGGGTGATGTGCATGTTCTGTTAGTGGCGCCCGAGAGGACAGACCATAATGTGAGGTCCGCCCTGCTAAATCGTATGCCCACATCACGGACCATTAGTCAGGAAATTGGCATGTTTGCAGCACGCCCAGTATCTGCTCGTACGATGCGTCGACTTTTGAAGCAGTGTCGAATACCAGCACGGCGACCATTTCCGCTTTCCTTGACAATACAGCAAAAGCGACTCTGTACGACAAAACTAGTTACAAGAGTGGCACAATGTCGACTCCCGGTTCTGCGTGCAGTATTCTGATGGCCGTGTGCGCGTTTGAAGGCTCCTAGGAGACCGCACGTCGCCTGCTTGCATTCGATATCCGCATAGGGGCCTGCACCTGGTGTGATGATTTAGGCAGCCAATGGGTAGACGACACGCACATCTGTAGTTCGGATCGACGGTAATTTGAGCGCAGATCGGTACATTTATGACATCTGACGGCCTATGATTGTGCCCTATCTTCGAGGCCT